GACCCTGGTTCGAGTTATTTGGTCCTTGAGGGCAATGAAGGGGCAATAAGATGGTCAACGGTCCACAGAAGGTTCGGAAATTAGTCTTTTCACAACGGAGGCAAGGAGTCGTACTGGCGATTTTGGGAAGGGGTCGTATTTAGAGCTGACCAAGGTAGACCATCTCTTAGAAAAATGCGAACGCGACAGTTGATCCTGTTCCGGTTTGTCTATGACTATGTGTAAGCCTCCGAAAAAGTATAGGCCATCCCACAAACCCCAATGGCACAACCTCTCTCTTGTGTGGTCCCAAGCAGACTACGCCTTGCGAATCATGCCAAGAACGCTTCTGCGCCTCTCCTGATTCAATCCTACTTCGTTGTAAAAATCATTCGATTGAGCGCGCATTTTTCTTTCCAAGCCCTGACGCTCCAGTGTTCAAATCAATTGATCCTTACCTGATGGGTATATGGCCTTGGCCGCCACCTCTGGTTTCATTTGTGGAGGTTCCCATTTGAAATTGCCGTATATCGAGAGGAGGCGGTTTCAACAGCTGCATCCTCTCGATATACGGCAACCTTAAATTAGGGATCTGATTTTCAAGAAAAAAAGAAAGTTGGCACGAACACTATTGACTCCCTTCTGATTGACATATGGGTCCTATTCACACACACACATCAAGCGGATAACACTCAAAAATTGAAAGCAAGGCCCATGGCCGAATTACCTATGACATATGCGAGCTGCAGCGCGCGCGTCCGCACTTCATAGGGTGCTGAGGTTACCGGATATTTTACAGACAGTAATCAGTTTGACAGTGTGCACGTCAAGCGATTCTTCAAATTTTGCTATGGATTTGACCATACTATTACTCTATCGTGGTCGTTTTATGGTTAGAGGTGGTGCTACGAGCCTAAATTACAATAAAATATGATAGTTTAGTAGATGAAGTAAATTCATGCTGACGATTTCAGGTGTCGATCCGTTTCAACGAAGGTGCTATCGTTCGCAATGCGATGAACAACAATGTATGGGGTAAGGAAGAGCGAGACGGAAACATGCCGATCAGCAAGGGAGAAGTGTGAGTGAAATCTCTTTCCATAGCCAAATATGTAAGATTCAATTGGCCCTTCAGCGCCAGCCAAAATGACGGTTTCTCGCTATGAGCCACGTTATAGACAAAACACCTTAGCCAAGAGTAAGGTAAAGGTCGTTTGAGCGCTAACAGAGACCAGATGGCCTCTAAAACGCCTCAAAAATATGTATCTGCCGTTTTATTGATCGATATTGATTGGTTCAGCTTCGACATTACCATCATCAATGAGGAGTTCTCATTCCAAATCTTCTTCAACGGCAAGCGATTCACCACATTCGCACATCGTGGCTCACCTAACGACATCAAGACGCTCGAAATCGATGGAGACGTTGAGGTGAGATCACTTCAGCAGGAACGAGACAATTAGGCGCGTCATGATGGTTCCCAACCAGGAGGGGGGGCAGCTCTTCAGTTGGCGCTCTCAGGAACTTCTCGAATTGTTTGGGTTAAAATCAGTAGGATTCAGAACTAAAATGAGTCAAGATTACGAATTAGAAACATGACGGCGAGCGTTTAGACCTGGCTACTCTTTGCTTTTTAAAGGCAGCGGAAATGACGCTTAGGCGGCGGAGCAATGTTGATGGACGTGCGCGGACGTGACTGTTGGTGGTATGGGCGTTGAGAGGCGCGGGTTTTTTTTTTTTTTTCCCGGGGGGGGGGGAAACCCCCTCAACCCCCCCCCCCCCTAAACCCCCTCCAAAAAGGGAGAAGGACAGGCCCCGTGACGTCCAAGGCTTCATCAGAACCGGCTCACCTTCAGCCCATCTAGTGAATCACTGCCTTTGAAGGATTCCCGGGTTGTGTCCTGTCCTTGTTGTAATTGGAATATAAGGTTTTGAACTGTCTCCATAAATTCTGAAGAAAGCCATGGAAATCGCCTCTACTCTACAGAATTAGGCCGCGAGGTCAGTCAAGCACCTGATATAGTTCTCGTCGATAGTGAGAGTCTAGTTGTTCCTGGGAACTCCTGCCCAAAAACTTCTAGAGCAGGTGTCAGACTTCACTACCATCAATAGCAATTCGAACAATCAAGCGATGCGCTAGCGACCAGTTACTGGCGCGTTTCTGGAATCGCTGACGCATTGCTCGTACACCTCAAGTCGCCAACGCAGGTCACAAAGTCTAACATCTGCCCAAGAGTATGCAGAGATCGCGCTGGTGATTTGGCCGCTCGGGGTCTGCCCCAGTGAACTCCGCCCACAACCCTGCCCGGCCTATTCTTTCAAAGATCAGTAGATTATCAACAAAATGCTTTAAAAGAAGGACATTCGATGAATTTCTCCCATTTTCAGGTCCACACTGTCACCATCAATGATGCGCCAGGAGTTTGAAAGCTGTTTGAACATGTACCTATATGATTTAAATAGGTTAACCAACAAAATGTGTATATTGATAATAAAGTTCTTTCGATTAACCTGATCTCCATAGAGAATAGTCATTGGTCGTCAGAGATGACCATCATCCCTTGAATGCTATATGGCCTGATTTTGATCAAAATGGCAGTTCAACCTTTGAAGCTACCAAACGGCGCCCACCCGATGGACCGACTCGCCACTTGAGTTTCTACAGCAGGGCCATTGCGAAATCGTCGACGATTAAGTCAACTGGTGAGTTTTCTACAGCACGGCCGTTTTGATGCGGCTATCACCATATTTATCAGAAAAAATTAAGTGCAAATAACTGGAAGTGATAGATGGGCTTTCGCCGGGCCTAACAAGCTTCACTAACGTTTGTCCTCAGTCCTTTTGACAGTTTTTGGTCACATAAGAGAAATAGGGGGAGCCATAGATACTTATCACTGGTATTTATCACTGTTGAAAGGCAAGAATCAGGATTAAATTGATGGGGTGATTCCACTCAAATGTGAAAGTAGGGGTGGGAGGTGGACCGCCAGTGGAGAAAAAAGGAAAGAAAATCCTGAAATACACAGGAAATACGAGCATTTTGCTCCATGCTGTGGAGAAGTTCAAAAGACAGGCAGGGAGATGAGAGCGGAGAGTGGTAGAG